TCTGACAAAGAAGCCAGAAGCAAAGTATTGTGAAGTTGGTGTCTGTTCAAGAGAGACTCAGCTCACCTTGAGGTTATTGACATGTCTTTTCCAACATTACTGCTAGTGAATCAAGATTCTGCATGATGTCGTTAAAGTTGGTCGCCTGAACCTACGAGGAAAACTTAATATTTACCTTTCAACCAGTTGCTTCACCCTTTGGGATTGTTTTGAAACACAGTTGTGTCTTTTAGTGTTTTCTCTCGCGCCTCATTTCCTATTTTAAACACCACCATTAAAAGTAAGTAGAAACACAAAAACCTCAGTGAAATTTCTATGTAAGTTTCTCTTTTTGCTGCAATATCAGAACCAGAGTCCCCAAGATAAAATGGTTTTTAATTAAGAAATGTAGAGATCTAAAAAGAGCACAAAGACCGTGAGGAAAAATCCCATGCAGAACTACTGCCACCTAAAGGTTTTGCCCAGTATTACAAGAATGCTTTTTTCCTGCTGAATAGCTAGTATTGAGATGCCATAAAGATTAAGAAGTAGTTGTAAATTTTATCATTCTTTCTAAATAAATTCTGTTAATACAGTTTAATCAAGCTCTTTATGGCAGAGAATACGTGTGTTAGCTTAAGGCATATAAAATGTTCAATGTTCCTGTGCTTAAATAGGAGTACTGAGAAAAAAAGTACATTTTAAATGAATGAAAGAAAGATTATGCACCTCTCTGTGCAAAAGAGTACTTGCACAAATGATGTTTGCCGTCACATGCTAAGAGAAAGTTGCAAACCCATAAAGGGACATTTTAATGAGTTGTTTCACAATCGAAAACTTAAGCGAACTGACCCTAAACTCTGTTTAGGTAAATATCGGGAAGTAGGTAACAGCTACAGATCACAATGACTAAATAATACTCTTATTAAAAGGCTAGCTTGGGTGTGAGGCTTTAATTACAGGCCTGCAATTCCAGCACTTGGAATCAGGCAGGGGAATTACGCATTTGAGACCAGCCTGAGCTACATAGCAAGACAGAGTCGGGAAGAAAGAGGAAATTGATGAGATTTCATGATGGAAAATCGGCTCTAGAGGATCAGCAACATTACATACTATTTCTGACTATCTCTAAATGGTTCTGTAACTGTAGTTACAACTCTCAGCAAATGGAATATTTTTAGAAGAACCTGAATTTGTTAAAAAAAAATTGACAAATGGCATAACATTCCTTATCTTGATGGATCTTTGAAATGGCAAACAGTGCTCATTCTACTTAACACATTAATATTGATTAGAGACCAATTGCATTATTGACAGTCTTAGTTAGGCTGTCTTAGGCAAGCCACATACTAGGAGGCTCCTAACAACAGAGTCTTTTCCTCATGGTTCTGTAGGCGATGGCTAACATCTCAGACCCATAGGAGTTGGTTTCCATTGAAACCTATCTCCTTGGCTTACAGGCTTGTCCTTATTAGATAACCACACGGCCTTTCTTCTGTGCTTGAGATTTCTGATGCCACTTCATGTAATTGCAGGACATGGGCTATCTGATGGAACCCACCCTCATGTGCTTATGACTGTATTTAACAAAATCACCTCCCTATAAGCCCTGTCTCTCTATGTTACAGAATCTGGCTCCAACAAACAACTTGGAAGGGACAACACTCACTCTATAACAGTTATTCAGCTTGTTATTCAACGAAACAATCCGTCTATGCGATGGTTAATGTCCACTGATGACATGACTGGATCGGAAGCCACTTCGGGGTGAACCTGTGAACTTGTGCTCAGACTGTTTCCAGAGAGATTCAAATGAAATAGGAAACTCTTCCCCGAATGTGCATGACACAACCCCACGGGCTATAGTTCTGGAAGGGAGACAAAAGAAGAGCTATACGCAAACACATTCATCTCCTTCTGCTTTTATACTGCGGATGAAATGTAGCTAGCTGCCTCACTCTTGCTATTCCAGCTGGATCCACTCTGCCACCATGACTTCCTCTCTGTGATGTCCTGTGCCCTCCAGCTGTGGACCAAGATAAGTGGTTTTTATCACAGCCATGGGGAAAAGTAACTATTTTAGTATTTAAGCAGATTCAGCATTTAGTTGCTAACAGACAACCTGTGTTATTTGTGTTGAAGTTTAAGGTGTAAGAAGAAGTCTATCTTCATTTAGAAACAATAAGCTCTATGAGCCAGAGCATTTGTAGCTAAGCTTGGTGTTCTGTCGGGAATGGAACGAACGGAAGGAAACAAGTTCTTGGAGGAGCTGAGATAAGGTTTGAGACAGTGGGCAGCACAAGATGGGTGGGGCTCAAGAATACAATCTTCAGTGAAGAAACTGAATAACTAGATAACTTCTCCACCAAGTGAAATAATATGGACAACAGCACAAGGGCTCTCTGGGTAGACTTGAGGAATATGAGAAATAAAATGTTGGTTGATCTGCACGATTAGATTGTTGCTGAACACGTCTAATGGCCAACTCCAGCTTGGAGTCACCTTGTTACAGATTGGGATCTTCTCCTTGAAGAATGACTTATGTTCCTTCCTTCCCTAAAAAATTTCCTGTCCCTGGTTCAGAACATCTAGCAGAGTTTATAAAGGAAGGCTTTGGCTAAGTCATCCAGAAACCAACCTTTTAAAACTCCTAGCCATGAGTGCTAGTATACAGACCACAGTTAAGAGAATCTCTAAAGTATCTATTAATACTCTCTCTCTCTCTCTCACACACACACACACACACAAATATACACACATACATACACAGAGACACATACACACACATAGACACACTCAGACACACACACACACACAATCTCTTCTAAGGAGACCTTTGGCCTTCAAGTTTAAACTAAAATGGAAATCAGATTTAGTAGGCCTTCCACTGGAGATTCAGAGAAGCATATGGAGGTCAGTGCTTCTAGTAATAACTCATGAAGGAATTTTAGTTGATAAGAACAAGAAATATAAACTAGTCCAGCAAGGACCTCAAAAATTTTTTGTTCCTGGCCAGATGTTAAAAAGAAGGAAAGAAAGAAGGAAAGAAAGAAAGAAAGAAAGAAAGAAAGAAAGAAAGAAAGGAAAAAGAGAAGAAAAAAATAAAAAATATCTTTGTTTCTGTAGCAGACAGAGTCCAGGAATGCACAAGGGCCTCTGGTTCTGCTCTGACTTATCTCTGCACTGTCTAGAGAAGCACAACTGTCTGGACGCTATAAATGATGGCATGACTTGAAGAAAGCAGCAGATGCAGAGGTCAAGGGTGAGTCAAATGCCATCAGTCCTATGAAAACTGCCCAGACTAGCAGCTTGGTGGTGCTCCATCCCTGGAACCCGCTCCTGCGACATGGTAACTCTGCCTTCTTCCTTTCTGTTGAAGTCCCATCCACAGCTCTCATCTCCTTTAACTGAATCTGAGAGACAAGAACCCAGAGCTATTAATTCAATAGTTTTGTTTGACTGTGACCTTGTGACATCCTGACTCCTGAGTTAAAACCCACGTGAAGCTAAGATGCCTCTGTCCTACTCAAGAACCCCAAACCTCCACTTTTTCTGTATCAGTGTAATACAAAGCAACCCCCCCAACGCCGCTTATCTTCACAGACTGTAAAGAATGGAGGGTCTCGGTGGTCCTTATGCTCTTACTTGTGAGCTGCTCGATTTTCTAGAGGATTTTCTCCTGTTCCTAGCCCAGATTTGTTTGAGGCTCATTATGGCAGAAAAGTTAATTATTAGTTTTCAAATGAGTCCACTAGGTGCTATAAGCATCCTAACCAACTGCACTGTCTATCGGACTAAATTAATCCCTTGATTGGTCTAGCCACCTCCTAAGAGTACCTGTGGGACATAAATGTAATTCTCGATCAGTTGTATCATTATATTATATCGATTGTTCTTTCTCATTAGATGAAGCGCTCTTTTAAATTTAGAGAAACGGTATAAAGACAATAGATATGTATTTTCTCTTTTAAACGAAGGGCTGTGAGGTAGAGATCTTAATATACTAGTTTTTCACACACAGAGGCTAGAAGAGCTAAATGTCTCTGGAATCCTTTGACACAATTGGATTAGCTTTTCGCCATCTAAAACAGTAGATAATACAGTTCTTAACTGAGCAAATTGCCACTGAGATCACTCTGTGCTTTCTGCTTGCAAAAGGTTGTCTTGTGGATTATACCCCATTCATCTATAAGGTTTTTAACATCTTTGTAGAAAAACTCAAATTAAAGGCAGGGTCATCAAATAACCACCAGCCTTAGTGTCTTTTGTCAAGTTGGTCCTTAATAATATCTAATATGTTTTCTCATTCCAAGTGATGAAATTATTCAAGGAGTGCCTTTCACATCTTATTCTTAGCAAACAATAGAATAAAAAGCTGTTAATTTCAGCACTTGGGAGACAGAGGCTGGCGGATCTCTGAGTTTGAGGCCAGCCTGGTCTACAGAGAGAGTTCCAGGACAGCCAGGGCTACACAGAGAAACCCTGCCTCATAAAACCAAAGAACAAACAAACGAACAAAAAGCTGTCGATTCGACGCACACACAAAGATCACGTAGACAAAACAAACAAACAACGACAACAAAAATATATGCTAAAGGAATCCAACAGCTATTTGCGCATAATGTTTTCTTTATCTCACACTATTCCACACTCAAATAAAGATACACTAGGATCGCTTAGTTGTATGGCGCCTGAAAGAGGATCAGGAGTTCCAACTAATTCTGAGTAATCTTAATCAAGGGACATTTGCTAGTAGGGTCTAGACAGACACTTCAGCTCAGGCAGTACTGGCTCCAGTGGAAGCAAGCCAATGAGGCAGCTAGCAGGAGCCTGCAGAAATGCGGCGCTCCGGGAGGTGGGCGGGCCGCAGACGTGTGCTGCGGGAGGGGCGGGACCTGGGGCGGCGGGCGGCCGCCCTCGGGTCTCCAGAGTCTTGGCCCCGCCCAACCGACCGGCCCCGCCCTGGAAGACCACGCCCCGCCCGCACGGCTCGGCTGTCCAGTAAGGCCCCGCCCCTTCAGGCCTGTCCCGCCCCGCCTCCTCCGTGAGAGCCTGGGTTGTTGGGTCTCGTCAATTTCACCACGCCTGCTTTCCCAGTCTTCCGGTCTCGGAACCCTCCGCTGCGCAGTCATGGCTCAGCACTTCTCCCTGGCCGCCTGCGACGTGGTGGGCTTCGATCTTGACCACACGCTGTGCCGCTACAACCTGCCCGAGAGCGCCCGGGTGAGTGGCGCGGGTGACACCAGGCGCACGGCCTCCCGGGCGTTGGGCGGAAGTGTGGTCTTAGGCCCCCGCAGGGACACAAGAGGAAATCTGGGGCAGAAGACAGCGCGAGATGGAGCTTGGGAGCCGGCTTTTAGGGCATTGGAAAGGCTGGGTCGGGGGTTTTGGGTGTCATTTGCTGATCCTAAGCCCCGGTATTTTTTTACTACTCCTCTGGGCACCAGCTGAGTGGGTCCAACCACTTGTTTTTGACTTTTAGAATGCGCGGCAGCATCTTTCCTGTTGCACGACCAAGTAATCACCTGTCAGAGTTGAGGCGCTGCGTTTAGGGAGAGATTGTGTAATAGTGTTGCGAGAAACACCGGTCGAAAAGTCATTAAAGTCTTAGCAAGAAGAAAATGAGCGTTTATTTTTGCACCTACTACTTGCTCTGTGCATTTTAAATAAAGTTGTAGTCTCAACGGAATCTGGGCCCTCACTGCCCTGAAGGCTGTGTTCGTAGACTGGTACCCTCTGACCCTTTGGTTTCAGAAGAAACTGAAGAATTAACAGTATTACAGTGAAAGATCTAAGCAAGACTGCAGTTAGATTACCTAGTTCGGGACACCAGCTCCAAGTATCTAGTTCTGTGATGTTGAGTAAATAACCTGGGTTTCTTCTCAGTTTCCCTTGCTTGGATTAAGTGGATAGTGGATGTGTGGTGCTGAGAGCTTGTCCCTGGTGAAAGAACAATTGTGTGTTGTTATGGTTTACACCCAGAGTATTTGGGTCGAGCTGTGGATCCCTAGTGCCGAGAACAGCCAGGGCCGTTCTCTGTAGTCCTTCCAGTGCCCCAGTTGGCCAGGTACTCAAAAATCAAAAATTGAGGCTCCTGAATCACTGGTGTGTGTTTTCTTCATAAGGATTTTTTTTTTCCCAAATGTGAGTTCCCTGTTGGTTCTTGCCAGTGACACAGATCTCACATCCTTCCTCATGGTGACAGTTGGAAGGCATTTTTTTAAGTCTTGGTCCTTTGGCTCCCCCTTCACGTAGACCTTTGGGTGCTATTTTCGTGCCTTCCATGCCTTTCAAATCCCTGTCGGGTTCGTATTTCCTCAGGTCCTTCATCTGTAGTCAACATCGTTTATGGGGAATGTAGTTTAAGTGCCAATTTGGTGCATGTGTGGGCATAAAAATTCCGGAGTATAAGATCCACGAGATACTCTATTGTGAATTTTGAATCTCGGTGCAGTTTAAAGACTGAAAACTAAATCCTGGTGAGGCTCAGGATATGTTTGTTGTAGAAATCCTAAGTCTGCCAGCATGTTGTCGCTGGGACGTAGTTAGGGACAGAGATGAACCACACACAGGTTGCAGCCTGTTAGCAGAAAGATGGCGTAAAGCTCTTTTCTATACTCATGATGGAGGGCAGTCTTTGCTGTCTTGGTACATGCTGCTGCCTGTCCTGGAGGCTCTTGTCTGTTCTTCAGAGTGTCCCTCTTCCTCATGCAGAATCTCAGGTTAAGTACTGTTCCCTTATGAAGCCTTCCCTTCCCACCTATGAAGTGTATCATGTCACCACCTCCAGTTTTCCACAGAAACTAACTCCACCATAAGGTTTCAGTGTTTCGCAGTTTGGAATCCTCCCCCTGAGGCCCAGGCTTCCTAGCTTCAGACTGATTGACAGGGTTTTTTGCATCCTGAACGTTAGTACTGAGTGTGCTAGGTTCAGAAAGTTACGATGTGCATGAAATTAAAGGACTTTAGTAGCTGAATATACACAGCCACTTTTTTTCTATTTTGGTATGTGTGTGTGGTATATACATGTATGTATGTGTATATATGGGAGTGTGCTTCATACGTGGAAGTCAGAGGTCACTGTCATGTGTATTCCTCTCCTGCTCTCTGCCTTACCTTTTGAGACAGTGTCTCAGTGAACATGGAGCTCCCGGTTTCAGCTAGACTGGCTGTCTAGCAAGCCTATTGGGTCTGTCTGTCTCCATGCTCACCCCCCCTTAGAATTAGGAATTCACATCGCCACTATTCTGATATGCATTCTGCTTATGTGAATGAGTTGAACTTGTATTTATTACTTTTCTCATCTCTGTGACCAAAGACCTGACAAGAAGCAACTTGAATGATTTAACTCTGTTCATTGTTCCTAGGGTTTCAGGCCATCCTGGCAGGGAGGGCATAGCAACATGAAATCAAGCAGCTGGTCACATTGTTAACAACAGTCAGCAAGCAGAGAGATAAATGTTAATGTTCTGCTGCTTCTGTGTGTGTGTGTGTGTGTGTGTGTGTAGGTGTGTGTACGTGTGTACGTACATCATGTGTGCAGGCGTGGAGTTGGTTATCTCCTTCCACCCTGTGGGATCTGGGAATTGAACTCGGGTTGACAGACTTGGCCGCAAGCACCTGTACCCACTGAACCTTTTTTCCAACCCCTCCAGATTATTTTTTATTACAGGGTCTCTTCACTGAATCTGTAGCTTGTTGTTGAATATTAGTTTAAGATGTGTTACGTTTGTCTATGCTGTGGAGCATTTGTTTTAATGATGCAGAGATGTGCTGCATTCTTTTCTGTTGCATTTGTTTAACTCTGTGAAGCTGTGTTGCTTTGCTGATCTAAAACACCTGATGGGCTAATAAAGCGCTGAATGACCAGTAGCAAAGCAGGAGAAAGGATAGGTGGGGCTGGCAGGCAGAGAGAATAAATAGGAGAAGAAATCTGCAAGAGAGATCAAGGACTGAGAAAAGAAGTCGGGACGGGGGAGGGGGGGGTCGGGGGGGGGGGGGGTGTGGGGGGAGGCAGCCAGCCAGCCAGCCAGCCACAGACTAGGAGTGAAAATAAGATTAGAGAAGTAAGAAAAGGGAAGAGCCCAGAGGTAAAAGGTAGATGGGGTAATTTAAGATAAGAAAAGCTGGCTAGAAAGAAGCCAAGGTAAGGTCAGGTGTCCATAAGTAATAATAGGTCTCTCCTCTCCGTGTGTGATTTCTTTGGGGGGCAAGTCCCTCAAAAAAATCCAAAAGAGTGAAAAGAGTGCCACAGCCAACATTTTGGCATTCCAGCTTGGGTATGGAGTAAAGGAAAATCTGACAGCAGGAGCTAGTTCCTTTTTTTTTTTTTTTTAAGCTAGGTTGACTAGCCAGGGGGGCTCTGGGGAATATTGGAATGCTGTCTCTGCTACCCTAATCAAAGGTTACCAGTTTTTGTGTGCCAAGTACTGTGTCCACTGAGCCATCTCCCAACCCCTCTACTGGCTTTTTTTTCCCACTGTAATTCAGTCTGAGCCCCCAGCCCTTGGAATGGTACTACTTTCACTCAGGGTACATTGTATCTCTCCAGCTAAATGTCTCTGGAAACACTCTCAAAGACAGTCATAAAGGTGTGTCTCCTAGGTGGTTCCAAATCCAGACACGTTGACAAGATTAGCTGGAGCAGCACCATTATAGCCCCTCTGGAGGATCTCTGGGTGTCACTGTTGAGAAATGGTAACCACGGTCACAGGAAGATTAAGTCTTTGGCAGATCCTGAGAGCTTTGGGTCACCCCGCATGTTGCTGGGGCTTGAGTTCACCTTTCTCACACCCAGGCACCCTTAAAATGCATGGGAAAGGCTTAGGGCAGGATGCCCACATGGAGTTGGAATTGGAAGGTGACAGGTGAAAGGAGCATGCAATGGACGATGGAGGCAGGTGTTCAGAAAGTGGAAACTATAGACGCTTATAGAGAAATCAGGGATTTTCTCAGTGAGGGCATTTATCAAGTCATGGGGTCGTGCAAATATGTGTCCCTACTGCCAGAACCTCAGGAACAGCATCCCAGAAGACATGACACTGACACCTCTGTTCTTTGGGTGTGCGGACTGAGAATGTGTGCCCATTCTGAAAGAGTGGCCACACACCAGTCTTTCCCGCATTAATCAAGAGGGGTTCCATCCTACCAGCTCTTCTGATTTGTTTTTGTAAGCTGGAAATCTCAACTAATTTGAAACCTTTCCATTTCGAGGCATTGCCTCATTCTCCAGCAGGATTATAAGGTTGTCAGATTTGGCAAATTAAAACTCAGGACACACGGTTCTATTTGAATTACAAATTATAGAAGCATTCCTGGTTTTTGTGACCACCCAGACTATTACATGGAACATGCTTATCAGAAAAAAAATCCACCCAACTATTTGCTATTAATCTAACATTTGAATTTACCTCATCTTTGTTTGGCAGATTCTGGTGGAGGCCAAACCTGTGTTGTGGGCTTGCAGGATAGGAATATTTATACAGTGGAAATGGGCAGAGGTTATCATCAGTCGTGGTTTTGGTGCATAACTAGCCCAGGACTGATAACAATAGCTAATGCCTCTGTTGAATTTGCCTCTGTAAGCTTCACATCTGTTAACCCCCGGCTAGCAATAGACTTTGCAGGCAGGATCATGAGAGATACTCTCTACTGTTCACAGAAGTTACTTTGAACCTTGGTGTGACTCAGTTCATTTAAAAAACATTCTTTGAACTTTGTCTGTCTGTTGTTCCTCGGCTTCAAGAATCCTGTAGGAGCTGGGCAAGGTGGGGCCCAGCTTTTTAAATCCCAGCATTAAAGAGGCAGAGGCAGGTGGGTTTCTTAGCTTCAGGCCAGCCAGGGCTACATAATGAGTTCCTGTTTCAAGAGAGAGAAACAAAAAAAAAAATCATATAGGAGCCCACCAGGGCCTCTCTCTTCCCTGAAAGTCTAATGGCTTTAAGAGGCAGCATCCATTCTGAATCACCTCCATGATGCAGGACTGTTGATAGATCATGTAACCTGGGTGAGGATCACACTGCAGTAGACGGGAGTCACACTAAGGGTTTTCAGTCGGCTTTGGGCGGAGGGCAGCTCTATTTGATGGGAGTCTTTGTTTTCTCCATTCTCATTTCCTAGTACCCAACTCCCACCACCCTAGCTGCAGCAGAGTGCAGGCCCCTGTCTACACCTGCCTGGTTCTCCATGGCCCTAGATTCACCAGCTCTGCCATATCTTCTAGGTGGTGCTGCCGTATCAGTGAACTTGGCTCGCAGATTCAGCTGACCAGCGAGCTCTGGAGAGCCCCCTTTCTCTGACACCCCCCCAGTGCTCGGGTTACAAGTGTGTGCTATGTCCAGATTTTACATGGGTGCCGGGGATCTGAACTCGGGTCCTCATGCTTGTGCAGCAGGCACTTCACCCACTGAGTCATCTCCCCAGCGTTAGGCTGCTTGTTAAATGTGGGTATTTAGATGAAAAACAACAACAACTGTTGAGAATTCAGGTCTGTCAACAATTAGCGTTGGTTTATCCTATGCTGGCTTCCAAAGGCTTCCCTCCTCCTTCATGCTTAGTTGTTCTCTTTGCATAGACAAATAAGAGGCTCCTTGTGTCTGATAGAGGCTTCATGTTTCCTCCTAACTCATCTGCCTGACGGGATGTGTCTCACTGAGTCTCCTCGCAGCCCAGGCCTGTGTAGCACTGATGGACCAAAGCGAGAGATAATGATAGAGTGGCCAGAATGCTTATTGTCCTGGTGCCTGTCTAGTAGCTACAGAACATTGGGTCTTGATGAGCGCCAACCCATTAGGACCTGGGTGTCGGATTCATACCTACCTTTGGTTTTATAGTTGTGTACTGGTGATATAATTTCAGGACCCTTTTGGGCTGACAAATCACCTGGAATGGAGGTTAAATGGCAGAATGTCACAGTTCTGTATATTGCTCCACTGCTAGCCCATCAGTGATTCCGTTAGGTTGTCAGGTGAATGAAATGAAGGGTGAATAGTGAACTTTATAGTTGATCTCTCTTTTTGCTTTCCTTATTTGCAGCTCATTTATAACAGCTTTGCTCAGTTCTTAGTCCAGGAGAAGGGGTATGGTAAGGAGTTGCTCACTCTGACGCCTGAGGACTGGGATTTCTGGTAAGTCCCCTAGCCCCTTTGGCCGCTCCATCCCCTGTGACTCATGACTGTTGCTGATGAAATCTTAACTCTTTCTCTTCTGTGAAGGTAGACAATGAAATGTAAAATTGAGTCAAAAGGCAGAATAACTTCTATACTAAAAGTTTTGTGTTTAATGAGTTAAAGTCTTGTATTTGAAACATGTCTAGACTTTAATATAAGTAAGCTCTCAGCTTGTGACCACTTTTAGGATATTTATATGTAGTTTCAGACAGTCACAGGAGAAGTATTAAAAACTAAGATTTGCATATATGGAAAGAAGTTTGTTATTCAGAGCCATAAAAGAAGAGTCAGCATGTTAAATAAGTGACTGAATTAGGCCATTTGAATAAATATTCCCTTCTGGTTCATATTGTTCATTCCCTTCCTGCTTTATGATTTATTTAAACAAGAAAAAGCAAAAAAAAAAAACCTTAATCGATGTAAATTGTTCAGTTTAGACACGTGTGGTAGGGTATGCTTGCTAGTGTGAATATAGTCCCAGCTACCTGAGGCCTGAGGATGTCATTCAGGGTTAATTGGGCAGCATAGAAAGTCCTTGTCCCAGTCCTTAAAGTAAATTAGGACTGGGAAGGTGGCTCAGTCAGTAAACTGTAAGCAAGAGGACTTGGGTTCAGAGCCCAAGTAAGCAAAAGGAGCTGGTGCCTCCCAAGGCAGATACGAACTCACAGAGCTTGTGATGGCATGCACAAATCCCTGGTAACTTAAAACTTGATAAGACCAAGTATGGAGCAGGATGATGGGCACCACATCCTACCCTTAGCTGGGGCACTATTAACAATTCATGGCAACTGGGAAGGGGGAAAATCAGTTTCCTTCAAAGATGGGACCTCTGAGCAGCTACCTGTGTGCAAGTAGATGGCCCTCTACACATACAAATAGTGGACTTGGGGCAACAACAACAACAAAACAAAAACCATACAGATGAAGTTGGGAGGAAATGATAGAGAGGATGGGGGAAGACTTGGAGCAGTTGGAATGGGGAACGTGATCAAAGCACACCATACGCATACACAAAGTTCTCAAAAGGGAAAGGGGCATGAAAGGAGGAAAGAATGGATCTGAGTGCAGTGGCTTCTCTAGAACCGCAGCATCAGGGAGGCAGAGACAGGAGGACCGCGGGAGCTTGCTGTCCAGTCCACCTAACCAACTGGTGAGCTCCAGCCAGCTTCAGTGAGAAATACTGTGTTGAAAAGTAAGGTGGAGAGATGGGAGGGATCCTGTTGTTGGCCTCTGGCTGCCCCTACACACAGGCACACACATGTGAACACATGAAAACATGTATACAAATATACATACAAATGAAGACTAAGAAAATGACCATTTAGTTTGTAATTAATAATCATTAAAAATACATGCACAGAGATCATGCATTGTGCATCCCTCTGAGATTTGTTTGTCTTTAGATCTATTCTTTCTGTCCTGGGAAGGAATGGAAAGCTCTTACCAGGTGACATTATTGTTTCTAGGAGTTTTACTCTGAATGCAAGGAAATAATACCCCCAAGAGCCCTTTCATGTTCATTTAACTTTGCTGTTTGTCAGCCATTGTGCTGCTTCACTGTTACTATTCGTAATAGAGAATCTACATTTTATCCAGAGCCTACAAGATTTTTATAATAAAGAACCTAGAGCCAGGCAGTGGTGGCATATGCCCTTAATCTCAGCACTCGGGAGGGAGGCAGAGATAGGTGGATCTTTGTGAGTTCAAGGCCAGCCTGGTCTGCAAGAGCTAGTTCCTGGACAGGCTCCAAAGCTACAGAGAGACCCTGTCTCTAAAAACAAAAAACAAACAAAAGCAAAAAACAAAAAACCTCGAACTTGACCTTCTTTTACTGGTTTTCAATAATATATCTTGCCCAGAAAGTAAGTTTTTCTAAGTAGAACTATATGGAGGTCAGTTCAAAATAATGAGAAAACACCCTGGCAAAGAAGCAAGCTTGTGTATTGTAAGTATATGTGGATGTTCATGTGCATCTTTCTGTTTGTATGTGTTCTAATCTTGTGTGTGCATGCATGCACACAGGCACATGTGTGACGGTCAGGGGTCAACTTTCAGGAGTCTGTGTTCTCTTCCCCCATCTATCTTGGGATTGAACGCAGGTTGTCAGCTTTGCTCAACAGTCACTTTTACCCACTGAGCCATGCCACCTTCCTATGTGCTGTAGATAATGGAAGACAATTGTATATATTAACAAGGTACAGGATAATCTTCGTTGTGTATTTTCTCTTTTGAGTTGTGTCTGTTTTCATACACACACACACACACACACACACACACACACATACACACACAATCCTGAAGACTTTGTAAGCTGAATATGCTACCCCTTCCTCCAGCAGTTTCCCTTATGTGCCTGCTTTTCAGTGATACTCAATTTTATCATTCCTGGATGTTCTCTCTCATTGAAATGTTCTTTATTGTTCTTTATTTAGGTGAGGAGGAAATCTCTTCACATTGTAACATTTAATAATGGAGATTTTTGTCTCTGAGGTTAATGAAGTATATGAGCTGGTCAATAATCAGACTTTTCCATTTTAGTTGCAAGGGTTTGGCGTTGGATCTGGAAGATGGGACCTTCATTAAACTCGCAGCTGACGGCACTGTGCTCAGGTAACACACTGGAATTGTGGTCAGCGTCTCACTCCTTTAGTACCAGTGAACAGTTTTTAAGCCACAAGATGCGGTTAATATTTAAGTCAATCAGATGACAAGTAGCAGCTCTGTACTACTTTTAACTTCTTAGAAGTATTTTCAGGAAATATAGTAGACAATAACATACCCTGTGACATTGCCTATCCTTCTTTTCTGCTTTCAAAAGATCATGGATATTGTGCTGTTTATCTTTTATTAGGTAATTAGAGTAACATCAGGGACCCTGTGATTAAAGAAGATGCAGATGGGTGCTGGGTAGGAGTTGATGGTCTGTGTATACTCATTAGGCCATGGTCTTTGTATATCTGTATACCCCGTTAGGTCATGGTCTATGTATATCCCATTAGGCCATGGTCTGTGTACACCACATTAAGTAATGGTCTGTGTACACCCCGTTAGGCCATGATTTGTGTACATCCCGTTAGGCCATACTTGTTTCCCTCGTGGACCTTGTCAGCCTCACGCTCTGGTTTCCTTCTTCTCTTCTCTTGAGTGCACACAGACCTCTTTAGTTGATCAGGGTATGGGAAACAATCAGTAAGTAGCTGCTGTCACTACTGAGTCTGCAAGCAAGCACCATGGAGTAAAGATCTATTTCCCACCTCATGCTAATAGTATAGTGACAGCAACATGGCCATGCAGGTGTCTTTTACTATTATACCCAGCCGGTCAGCGACAAGAAGACTCAGTACAGGACCCCTGTATTCCTACTTTTGATACATCATTTGCTTTGTAGTCAGGGTACTTTCATGCTTCCCCCAGACTCTCCTCTAAAGTACTTCTAAAAGGAGCAGGTATGGCCTTATCTCTTATTATTTTGTAATTTATTTTCCTATTTTTTTTTCAGGCAACTAGGGAGCATGTTTATCTGTATGCAAATACTATATAAGTTTCCTTTAACCCTGTACATCTGTGGTCCTCTTAGTGGTATTCTTGGCAGTCTCCACTCATTCTCTAGTTGTTAAAATCTGCCTGCCTGCCTGCCTGTATGCCCAGTCTCTGTCGCTCTCAATTCAACTTCTGAATAAACTGAAGTTTCTCTTGTACACTTTTTCCCCTTGATGACTTCTTTCATCCTACGCAGTAGATTCTGGTCTATTCAGGTGTGCAACTCAGGACACCTCTCTCGACACAGCATTCTGAAGGGTCAGCCTCTAAAGAAAAGAACTCCATATGTGTTCTTAGTTCTTCTTCATATCTTCATTTTCCCCTTCAGATTATTTCCTCGCCAAAATGAAATACACTGTATGTTCTCGTAATGAGCGATTTAAAATATCAACTATCTACTTATCTACATGGTGAGAGTCCCCTGACAAGGCTCTAGTAAAGGAAAAGCAGATTTCTGAGCATAGAACCTAGCTATTTCTTCATTGTCCCCTGTTTGGCACATTCCTGTGTGCTTCCAATGTGTTTGTTGATAAAAATGTATGTGTCTTTATGTGAACAGGTTGTCCAGTCTCATCTTCTCAGGTGCCCTTAGTGCCCGGTGCCCACCACTCCTGGGGACCTGATGTGATTCGTCTTCTAACCTGCTCTTCCTCATGGCTGCCTAAGTTATCCTTCCCACTCTGTCTACATAGTTGTCTCCTAATTGTTCCGGCTGAATATGTATTTTGCCCTTGCTTTGTGTGCATGCTACTGGGGATAGAATCCAGGGCCCACACACTTGTTAGATGAGTTCCCTACCACCAATATCCATCCTCAATGCTTTCCTTTTCCTTTTATGTCTGAGACAAGGTCTCTCTTAAGTTTTCCAGAATGGCTTTGAACTTGTGGTCCCCTGGCCTTACCCTCCTGAGGAGTTGGGATTCCGAGCATGTGCTACAACACCAGCTTTATCTCATCTTTTGATGACACCACAGCTTCTCTAGGAAAGGCCGGGAGCTGCTGCAGCCATGGCCTCACGTGGCAGCTCCTCGTCACTTGCTAATGGATGGACTAAAACGTGGAGGAGCCACAGCTGTGGTCGACACCCCAGAGCATCCAGACAGCAATCTTTGAACTGGCCTACGTTACTTGTGTAGTTTAGACAAGCATTTTGTGTCTTACATGCCTAGTATCTTGGTAGTTATACTATAACCATAAAGTGCTTCTAGAATCCCAGACCAGATGAGATCAACCCAGTGACAACCAATATACAGTATATAAAAGAAAAACAATGGTTGGTCATGGTGACCCATGGGTAGCACTCAGGCGGCTGAGGCAGGAGGATCACAAGTTTAAAGCTAGCCTGGACTATATAACAAGATCCTGTCTAAGAAAAAAAAACAAAGCAAAGCTATGTTAACTCCAGTGGGATGGGGATCAGTATTCTCAGTGTTATCAAAGAGGCAATCATGGGAACTTCTAGCCAACACTACAGTCCTCCCCAACAGGGCAAGCCACGGCACCAGGATGTTGACTCCGGAGGCACTGGCGGAGACCTATGGCAAGAAGGACTGGAGGCACTGTGTGACAGACAAACACTGTGCATCGAGTGTCGACATTCCTTGCTGCTCAGGTAGGTCTCCTCTGCCACCCATTCTGCCTTGCTTTTGGACTGTCACCTGAAGTGCAAGGAGACAAAGAAGAAGCTCGGCCCTCTAGCCAAGCAAAGTGTCCAGAGAAATTGCTTTGGCAGTAGTATTTACTTTTCAGGTGTGTTTGGTTTGTGCTTGGCATTGATTGGGTCGCAGTGTTTTCACTGCTATACGGAAGGCTTCATTTACTGTCCTTTTACCCATGTTTTTCTGGAATAAAAAGATTACCCTGAAGATAATACACCCCTTAGCTGGACTGTGTGCTTTATGCAGCAGTTACATGCTCCATCCTCAGTTACTCTGTCTCTCGGGTCTTCTTATTCCCATTGTCTGCCACTCCTGTTTCCTGGACCCTTCCTTGCTGACAGCCCTATGTCCTGCCACTGGTTTTTATTTTAAAATGATTTCACACTTTCTTCTCAAGTCTGGGTAAAGACCTTTACTGAAGCGAAACATGAAGCAATATTTCAGAAATTATTTACTGACATAAGTGTGCATGGATTGATTTGGAGTGGTTAAAACCCTTTTTATGGATGGGAAGTCCTCATTACAATTACGCTGTTTCTCTGTTCTCTCTGCCCGAGTCCTCTGCCGTTTCTACCACACTGTAGTGTTAGAGCGCACCCTTCCCTTTTGGACATGTGGTAGCCTGAAAAGAGTTAATAATGTTTATTTGGTACTGTTGGGTGGCCTTGTGGTAGTTGTTCTTTGGGGGAATGTTTAAGTCTTTCTGGTGAGTTGAAAGTATTAGAAGATATGAGTGTTTTTGACAAAATAAGTGTGTAAGAAAAAGACAAACCCTGAGAGTTCAGTAAGGATGCTTGTGTGCATCTCAGCCAAGTGCTTTCTTCCCAAGTAATGATAACTGTAGTCTTGGGCTGGCATTATTGCTCACTGGTAAAGTCTGCCTAGTATGTGCCAGATTGTACAGAGTAAGTTCTTCCCTCATCCAAGGAAAGCTAGGCTCATGGCTAAGTGTTTCCTTTGGAAATTCATTCAAAATCTGGAATTTTTTTTAAAAGGTAAACTATTTCCTGACTATGAGAAAGAGCGGGTACCCAGTTATGACAGACTTGTTTGTTCACTACTTTCCCACCAGAGGGCACTGTTTCTTTGCAGTGACAGCTCCTGGTGCTTCAGCATCTTGGTGATGATTTTGGAATTGGTCTCAATCTTATCTGGTTCATTGGACACAGTTGCCATCCAGGAGTACAGAGCCCGGGATGTCGGGCTGAGCTACACAGTGAAAGTCTGTCCCTTTTAAAATCTTTCAAGTTCTGGCAAGTACAGAGGCCAGAGGAGGTGTCTGATACCCTGGAGCTGGAGTTGCAGGTGTTTGGTTGGAACCACCATGAGCGCTGGGACCTCAACTCTGGTTCTCTGGATGAACAGTGCATGCTCTTACCACTGAGCCTTCTCTCACCTTACAAATAAAATCGTGTACGTGTACAGAAGGCTGAGGGAAGAAAGGCCTAGTGGTTCCTAAACACAATTAGATGATGCTTACATTAAAATGCAATCAAAGCCTATGGTTGGTAAAGTTAAATATTATAAGAATAGGGAGCAATGTGTTCTGGATTTCACTGAGATTTCTGAGGAGAAAGGAGGTCGAGGTGTTTGCTTCACTTGCTCGCTCGTCCAGTTGATCACCTGGGCCTGTGGCCCCAGCGCCTCCTGTGCGGTGCTGCTGAGCAGCACAGCTAGAGTCAGATGGGACATGGGCCAGCAGAAGTGTTGTGTCCGGGGGGGACACATGCACCAAGGAAGGCCATCCATAATAAACCTTAATCCTTTTCTCCCTTGAGACCCTGGAATGTGCTTGCCCCATACTCTTGAGATTTTCTGATCCACACCACCATACACTCACATGACAAGATTTTTATTCCTGTCATTACCCTGGCTGGTCTCAACTTTTCTTATTTGTCAGAAATGGCGTAAAAGTTGAGTGCAGTATTCTACATGGGTTGATCAGCACAGGTGTCCAGGCAGTTTATAGGGAGTGTTTCATGAAACTACAATGTTAGATTATTTAGCTATTTTGAAATTTGGTGGCATTAGTAATATATAGTGATTCCTTCACATTGCATTTTATAGTAATAATATATTGTCTTGAGGTTATATATTATTTTGCAATTGAAATGTGTTTTAATAAAATTCTTAATTTGCAGATGTCTGTTTCAGCTTTATTTTAGAGCTTAAACATTCCTCAAAAGATAAGGCTGGGGACCAGAGAGGTGACTCAGCAGTTAAGAGTCTTTATTCTAGCCCATGACCTGGCTTCAGTTCCCTGCACCCACATGGTAGGTCACAACTGTTTGTAGTAACTCCAGTTCCAAGGGCTCTGACACCCACCCTATACTGGCCACCACAGGCACCAGGCACTAACACCCATGTAGTGCATATATACATGCAGATGAAATACTCAGACACACTCAAAAAAAGATAAAATTAACAAAATAAATCTTTAAGATTGGAAAAAAGAGAGCCTGTAGTAATGCTAGTTTGAATTGAAATGAGTCTTTTCACTGAAATTGCTTTGGAAAGTTCTCTCCATATCCAGCTAACAGTGCCAATGTGTGTTGCATTGTTCAAGGATATGCGTAACACAAATAAAACATCCCCAAACTAAAACATTAAAATGGCTAGGGAAGACCTATGTTCAATCCCCAGAACTCACACTTAAAAACCATGGCGCAGTGCCTCCTACATTCACAATCCCAGTGCTTGGAGATGGCAACACATGGAATCCTGGTGTTTTCTGGCCAGTCAGCCTACGTGACAAGTCCCAGGCCAGTGACTGACCCTGTCTTACAAACAGATGGTGTGAGCAGTGGCACCGGCTGTCATCTGACCTCCACTTGCCGACACATCGCTTGCCCCACCTCCAACACACGGGGTGACATAAAGTGCAGGCTTTTCAGATAGTTAGGTGAACATCCAGGCTCCCTTCAGGCAGTTTCTCTCTTTTCCAGGAGGAGGAGATGTTGATTCTTTTCTGTTTGTTCTAGGAAAGTGTTACTTCTATGATAACTACTTTGACCTGCCCGGGGCTCTTCTGTGTGCCAGGGTGGTGGACTCCTTAACAAAGGTGAGTGGGCACTCGGTTTTTAAAAATTGCATTTAGTCATAAGTAAAAGTCATTAATTACGTGTCACTCTCCAGTTGAGACCTCACTTTATTTTCTTTGGGTGGTTTCAGAGGTCACCGAGGAAGCAAACATGGTGAATTTGGTCAAAAATGTTTTTGGAAAATTAAATAACAGTACCCTTTTAAAAAGAAAGAAATGTTTGATTAGGCAAAAGTCCTCCTCTTCTCCAGTTCTCCAGTGGGGGGGGGGGGTAATGGTCTAGAGAAAGGAAACAGAAGACAGGCTCTGGACAAATATTTGTTTGCTTTCATTAGCAGATAAAAAATAAAGTACAGCTAATTAAGAAACATTTCATGTGTCTTTATGTTTTTGAAATATCAAACCAGGAAAATGAAGCATTTTTTCTGACTCTTCAGATGAAATCTCTAGTTTGACAATTTGTATTTAAACTGAAAATCTATGAATATAGCTTGGTCTGTATGCCAGTATTACTTTTCTTTTTGCATCTATTGTATTTTAAAGCCACAATTAATTGGCTTATTAATGAAATGAGAATTAAGTCATGCATCTGTGAAAGTTTCCGTTGAGCAGGAGAGATTGTTGGTTTTGTTTTGTTTGGGTACTAGGAATTTTACCTGGGGCCTAGGTATCTCCCCAGCTCCACTGAGGTATATGCCCATCACCACTGAGCTGTATGCCCATCACCACTGAGCTGTATGCCCATCACCACTGAGGTATATCCCCAGCACCACTGAGCTGTATGCCCATCACCACTGAGGTATATGCCCATCACCACTGAGCTGTATGCCCATCACCACTGAAGTATATGCCCATCACCACTGAGGTATATCCCCAGCACCACTGAGCTGTATCCCCAGCACCACTGAGGTATATCCCTAGCTCCACTGAGGTATATCCCAGCATTGCAGTTTTTATCAAAATGAAGTGGAGTCTGTTTCTTATCATACACCAGTGGGAGAAGAAAAGTATCAAGTCTTCCCTCCCCTCCAGACCTGGGGATCAAACCCAGGTCCTTCCACTTCCAGGCAAGGACTCTACTGCAGAACTTCACCCCCATTCATCAGCCTGTAGTATTTTGTAGTATGCATAATTGTATATAAGTATTTAGTAGTCATTTGTATAGAAAGTAGACACTACCTGTTTCTGTGAAGCAAAGAGCTGTACAGTGCATAGTTGAATGTGAATTGCTTTGCCAGCTTGGAAAGTTCTCCATGTAGTGATTTACATTTTAGACTTAGTGCTGTCGCCATGAGTTACTGCTTTGTATGTGGAAGTGCAGGCTTACTGGACAGTGAATGCTGAGCTACCCTGATTTGGGCCCTGTTGGTGCCATCATGTCTGAAGTAGCACATTTTATTGCTTTAGAAGCTATAGAACTTGGTAAATTTCTTGTATGTTTAAATATTCTATAACTTTAGGCTATGTGAGTGGAAATTTTTACCTTTTTTGGGCTATATGAACTGCATTAATACTTAGTGATGCTTATCTATGTGTTGACTTGTAGCAGTGATATTTGAGGAATATTTCTGTATTAATCTGTCATGTTTTCTATAACCTGAATTCTGACCTTAGAGTCAATACACGTAATTATTTGCTATAGCTTACCACTATGCTTACAAACAGAATTTCTGAACTTGTTACATTTGGAAATTTCTTTTTTTAGCAGAACAGAGGTCAAAAAACATTTGATTTTTGGAAGGATGTAGTTGCTGGTATACAACACAATTTTAAAATGTCAGCCTTTAAGGGTGAGTAACATGAAGAGGGGCTTCCTGGTAGAGGTTTGTTAAATGCCACATGTCTACTGAACTCGGTAGATGCTTCCTCTTTTGCTCTACTCCTTACTTGAGATTTACTCTGATAAAAATGTTTGCTATAAAGTTAGTTCTGGTACCTGTATTCATTCTGCTTTGTGGTTGTAGTTGTCAGGACTCTGAGCCAGTCGGTTCCGCTGTCTTCTCATGCCTGCCAATGCAGCTCTCCTGGGCTGGAGGACGTTCAGTGGAACGAAAGTCCCAGTCCTTGTGTCATGGCTATGGAATGGGAAACGATGACACCTGTAGCCCTCAGGACAGTAGTGGCAGACAGACAGACAGACAGACAGACAGACAGACAGAGACAGATAAAGTACCACTGATGGAATTTCCATTCTCTTTGTTTAAGGAATAGGAGTGGTTGACCCAGAATGGGGGCTAATCCTGCCAACCTCAGGCTATGGCTTTTTGCTTTCCTCTGCAGGTTTACAGTGAGAATCGGAGTAAACAACCTTTATGCTACGTTACCCTAGTGACTGAGTCAGACTGGCTTCATTAACAAGTGGGCTGATGAAGTCAGCAGGATTTTAAGTTTTGAAATATGCTTTGATTGACAACAAAAAATTATATGCCTTCCTTTCAGTAAATCAGGCCATCAGAATAATTCTAAATATTATGACTGAAAAATGTGCTAAGCCCATAAATAATAATTGCAGGATATTTGTTCCACTTTGATATTTCTCTGATACCTTCTCTTCTGCCAAGATAAACCCACTGTTTTAAAGTGATGTTTACATATTTTTATTTTCTTGTATCTATCATCAGCCTTGATTTTGGCTCATAGAGGCTATCCTTTACCTCTTCATTGTACATGGTGTGTGCCATGCCAGTCTTGACAGAAGGACAAACCCATGACAGCAGTGAACTCACTCACTGCTTCATTATTTTTTCTCATTACCTTTATCCAAGGAAAAGTATGGTTGAGAAAACCCAGCTGTTGCTTTAAAATAAATTCAAGCATAGAAAACAAGATCTATTCATATCATTTTATTGCTTTGTAATAACAAGTAGATTAAATACTTCGTGCTTTAATAAGTGAGGTACAGCTTAACAGTTTTAAACAGTAATATAAAAATACAGTACAGAGCATAAATAAATAAAGTCTTTTCATTTCTAGTCTGATTTTGAAATCTTTAATGTTAACTATACTTTCACTGGAATGGAAGGCAATCCATACTAATGTTCTGTAAGCCCATAACATCCTATTATAAAGACGCAGCAGAATTAATTCAGAGTGTTCACACTGTGTGACAAACTTAAGACTAGGTCAGACACCTGCTTCCAAGTTGCACCAGGTATGTGGACTTTCTTCAGTTGCAGGAAAGCTTGAAAAGGTTTGTGACAAAGCACCTTGTAATTCAAAGTAATTGTAATACAGTATTTTGGTTTCTTGTAAGAGCTTGAAACAGTGTGTATGCACCTGTGCATTTTAGTTTATCTTGATGAAAGGGGCTACATGAGCCATAGAGTGATGCACCATCAGAAATATCCTAGGGTATACAGTGTCATTTAAATTTGAATATTCAAGTATTTAAATAATACAAAATTATGTGATACTTCCTGCCTGTTTCTTAGACATTTTCATATTAATTATTAAAAACAGGCTTTTTAAAAAAGAAATGCTGCATTTCTCTAAACTGAAATGTATTGTGAGTTAGAACCCTATTTCTGTTTTTGTGATAGTTTTTTTAACTTACAGTAAAAATTTTAAATATTAAGGGAATTCACAGAAACCCCCAGGGCTTTACGATTGCTGAGTGCTCAGGAGAGGCCTCACATAGTCACCTTTGGTGCTCACTTTACAGAGGAATTGTGGCTTTGGAGTGCATTTTAGAAGATTTAAGGTGTTCACATTACTTTTAGCCGACCTCCACGTGCATCTCCAGGGTGGGCGCGATGAAGTTGGGGGAAAGCCTTTCCAAGCAGAGCGTTTAGAAGAGCTTGGCATTGCCTGCTCACATGGGAGCCACTAGGAATCCTGAGAAGGAGGAGTGGACATATTCAGAGGAGTAGAGGCCGTTTGACTCTGCATTGGGCAGCTGGAGCCACACCTGGTCGTTTTCTGTGAGCTCCATGATTGCGCTCCCTGAAGCCTGGTCCAGGTAGCCCTTGCTGTACTCGTCGTATGTGTACATTATGGGGGTGCCGTTCTTATACAGACCTACCCAAACGTGAGTCCCCTTCACGTGCACATGGTAAGAGAAGTAGTATATTCCTGGGATCTTACAGGTAAAGATTCCAGTTCTTGGGTCATAATGCTGCTGCCTATTGTAGAGAATCTCATCAAAAGGGATGGGGGCACCTACTGCTGGGTAAGCTTTGGAGAGGACGACAGTAAAAGCAGACACAGGCATTCCTGTTACTCCCTGGTTAGCACTGACAAGAGGCCGTTGGCCTGCCTTTATGAAGCCATCAGGCATGACTCCTTGGCCAGGGGGTCCTGGGGGACCTGGGGGACCTGGGAGACCAGGTTCTCCACTGTGTCCTTTTGGACCAGGAGGACCTGGAGGACCAGTGGGCCCACTGAGGCCCTTAGTTGCTATGCCAGCTGGGCCAGGAGGACCTGGGTTTCCAGGGACACCCTTAGCCCCAGGGAATCCTGGGATACCTGGTGGCCCAATGGGGCCCCTGCCTCCTGGTCTTCCAGGTTCACCTCTTGGACCTGCCTCACCATTGTGTCCAGGCACGCCCTTAGCTCCTGCAGGGCCAATAGGACCTTGGAGACCAGGGGGTCCTCTCTCTCCAGAATCACCTTTTGGGCCCGGTAACCCTGGGTTGCCCTTAGGACCATTCAGACCTGGCTCCCCAGGGTATCCTGTTTTTCCATCTACTCCAGGGGGACCCCTTGCTCCTTTAGCCCCAGGTGGTCCTACAGGCCCAACTGGACCTGTCTCACCTTTAGCACCTGGGATACCATGGTTCCCTGGGATTCCTTTAGGTCCTTGGGGTCCCATATTCCCAGGAGGTCCAGTCAAACCCACCTCCCCAGGATGACCCGCTGGCCCTTGTTCACCTTTGGCTCCTGGAGCCCCAGGAAGACCAACAGGTCCCCTTTGTCCTCTCAGTCCTGGCAAGCCTGGTTTTCCAAAGCCCGGGGCTCCTGGAGGTCCAGTCATTCCTGGAGCTCCTGGGTGACCTTTTTCTCCTGGGATACCTGGCTGACCTGGGGCTCCAGCAGCTCCTGGCTTCCCAATACCGTCCTGCCCTTGTTTCCCAGGAGGGCCTTGGGGACCCGGTGGACCTGATGGTCCTCTTTCTCCCGGGAAACCCCGATCACCTTTGATGCCTGGCTGTCCTGGAAAACCATTTTCACCTCTTCTTCCAATTCCAGGAGGGCCAGGGGGTCCTATGGGACCCTGAGGGCCTGGAAGACCCCTCTCACCTGGACGGCCAGGAGCACCATATCCTGTTTCCCCTTTCTGTCCATTCACACCAGGGGCTCCTCGTGCCCCCTTTTCTCCAGGAAAGCCCCTGGGTCCTGGGGCACCGGTAGGTCCCTGCTGTCCAGGTTTTCCTGACACAGAAATTCCAGCTGGGCCAGGGATTCCAGGTGGTCCTGGAGGGCCCCGAGGGCCTGGTAAGCCAGCCGGTCCAATATCTCCTTTGTGTCCATGTGGTCCTCTCTCCCCTGGTTTACCTGGCACACCTGGCAGGCCTGGCTTCCCAGTGGCTGATATTCCTGGTGGTCCTGGCAACCCTGGCTCTCCTTGGAGCCCAGGGCTTCCATAACCTGGCTTTCCTGGAGGTCCTGAGGGACCTGGGTGTCCTCGGGGTCCAGCTGGGCCTGGTGGACCAGGAACACCTTGCTCTCCTCTTACTGGGATTCCTATAAGACACACCAACATACCACTCAGCATAAGCATCATAAAAGCAACCGGAGATTCTCAGAGCACAATAAGGGCAGAGTGTGGTAGACCCTGCATTCCAGGTAAATCTTCCACACAACCATCTTCAATGGGGTTGGATGGTATGTGTGTTTTATTTGTTCAGAAACTTCTGGAGAAGGTGGTTTCACAAAGCCACAGCTACCATGACTGAAGAGTCATCCTAATGAGGCAATGAAAATAAACTGGAATCCCTCTAATGTGAACATAGCGTGGAAGTGAGTTGATGACATTAGTCTTATTAAGATCATGTGGTCAGGAAGGTAAGGAAAGAAAGGAAGAATTATGCAGTCTAGCCTCAAACAGGTGATTTTCTAAGGCATCGATACGAGACTTAAACCTGATCAGTGTGTCCTACCTGATTAGATTTAGATTCTTGTTTCAGCCTCAGTATATACTTGGGCTTTTGTTCTCCTTCACTGAGTTAAAATTGAAGCAAAGAAAGGACTAGGCATAATGCATTGATGAGGCACATAGAATCATTTCAAATTGATGACGAAGATACAGTAAATGTTCTTAATCTCATAATGCTGTGGATTCGTTTAACTAAAACAATTTCCTGCTGTGCTAAACATCTTCAGTAACCCTTATCCAGTGCCTGTGACAGGACATGCTCTTGGACCAGACATGGGGGTGAAACCTAAAGCCTTGGGGATAAAGTTGCTTTAAGAAACCCCTCAGAGGTGGGGTATAGCCTGCAGTGTAAACATTACTATGTGCCATGAAGACCGTGCTTGTTCCTGTCTGCTGACAGTAGTCATTGTAAATGTCACACAAAGTGGTTTTTCTCAGAGAATTTATATATGACTAGTAAAGACAACAGTAAAATTGCAGATGATTTTTAAATACTTGTACAATTTTCATTTAAATTATTTTATTTAATAAGTTTTCAGAAGCCTTTAGATTTGTGTACTGTTGGAAAGCAGTTCATAGTAATGCTAATTTAGCAGACGTGACAGTAGGTACCTCAAAACTGAAGTAATGTTTAACTATGATCTGTTTATCGTATGTGTGTGTATGTGTGTGTGTATGTTAGTCCTAGATCTCAAA